TATTGATTGTAGGAGCTCAGATNTTGGTCCTTTTGAAAAACTTATTTCGCAAGTAGATCCCTAGAAAAACTTATCCCAAAAATGATCCTTTTTGGGGCACGAGAGTGGCTGGCGCCGTCGGTCAACAGGACGGCGCCAGACTCTTTGGCGCCGTGCCACCGNCGACGTGGCAGTGGGATGTTTCCATACATAGGACTGGAAAAAAAATTGTTAAAGTTTGTGTTGAATATGTGTACGTAGTCGGTTACAATTTACGACTTGGAGTTGTAATAGGTGTAGGACTAGAGTGTGAGTCGGACTCTATTCTAGGATCTCTCATAAATAGAGGGGCGCGCATGTTGTAACCGCATGGCGACTTAGTATAGCGAGAGGGAGCGGCTGCCGGCGGCGACCGGCCGTGAGTCTTTGTAACTCTGATACGCTGTATATGCTGGATCGGGGAGGAGCGCCCGTAATCAGTGCCCCGGAGATGTAGGCCTCGGCTGAACTCCGTTATCAAATATCGTGCCTCGGTGTCGTCATCATGTTTTGATCTCCTATGGCGTTTCTTCCGATGTGATTTCGGGGCCGGTTTTATAACAACTGGTTTCGGGGCCTGTGGGAGATCCATGGTAGAGGTACGAGGGAGGTGCTCCACGCCGCAACGACTACACAGTGTCCAGGACGGACATGGACGCAAGGTAGAGCACGGCGGCGATCAACGGAATTTGATCGGTGGAATCGGACACTTCAGGCGGTGGTCTGAACCGTTTGATGGCTGCAATCAACAGGGAGATGACTAGACGTGGTGCTCGGGTTGATGGCGGCGGAAGCGATTGGTGATTCAATCGGTGGGTCGGACACTTTGGGCGGGTGGCTCGAACTTTCCGGTGAGCTACTTTCAACAGGGAGCGGCTGGCCAGATGCTCGGGGTTGATTGAAGCTGGAGGCGATCGGCGTTCTCGATCGGTGGAATCGAACACTCTGGGCGGGGTGGCCTAGGCCTTTCGATGAGCTGCGTTCGACGGGGAGACGGCTAAACGTAGCACTCGGGTCGTTCGGCGGCTGGGAAGACGACATGCGACTTGTCGGCTTCGGCTCGCGACTAGATTGATGGCGTACAATCGAAAGTCGGAGCGGGTGGATCCTACATGCTGTTTTGGAGGTGTTAACGACAAGGTACTGCGTGGAGGATTGCTACTTAGCAGTGTACATGCGATGGATGGCAGAACAGAGAAGCGTCAGCATAGAATCAGTACATATTGGCGGCGGAAGTCGTTGACGATGTCGGTGGTCGTGCTGTGTGTGTTTGCTCTGGAACCAAGATGTCACTGGGGTACGTGAAGCTTGGAGGTCAGGGTCGCGGTGGTGTGCACGATTTCGAGTTGAGGCGTGCCGGCGACGGAGACAGAAGCGGCACTGGTAGTAGCAGGTCCGATCTGGGTTCATGCAGGACTTGACTTGGTAGAGGTCGTGGTATAGGAGTCGGGCACGATTCGATTTCAATACACATGGCACAGATAAGATCAAGAAGGAGACCATGTCGGGAACGGAAGGGGATTGGACGAGGACTGTATTCGTTTTGGAATCGGAGTCAAGTTTTACCCAAAATAGAAGCAGCAGGGATTCCACGGGATTGCAGAGATTGCAATCGAATCAAACCAACCAAAGCAATGAAGAGATCGGACCCGATTTCTTGGGCGGTGGGGGTTTGGGCGATGAACTACAAGCGGTAGAAGCACGGCTTGGTGTAGTCATCGTGCAGGTGCCGGCGAGTTCGACGCGGGCCGGCTCCGGCGAGGAGGCGGCAAGTACCGGCGAAGGGGCGGCGGCAACGCTCCTGTGTCGGGGAGGCGGCTCCCGTGGGCGTCGGCATCCTCACCGGTGGGAAACCCACGGCGGCAGCAGCGGCGGCGCTCTCACTGGCAGCGTTGAGGAGGCCAACTTCCTCAGGGGCGCGGAGGAGTTGGTGAAGCGGCGCGGCTCCTGAGCTCGGCTGGTCGGCGGGGAAGAGCGGCGCAACAGTCTGGGCGGCGGCGTCACTCGGGCCGGGGAGAGGCGAGCAGAAAGGAGGGAGAAGAGAAAGGGGATCGATCTGATTCCCTTTGACCGTGCTGTCTCGGGCTGTTGGTGGGTCAGGTGACTGTGGGACCATATGTGCTGGCTCTACATGCAACGGTATTGAGTGCATCGGGACTTGGTCAAGGAAAAACTCAGGATCGTGCGATTTTGTATGGCAGGATGTGTGTCTATGCATGGACGTGTCCAGTGCATGTATGCAAGGAATTGCTTGTCTATAGAGTGCATGTTCACGTTTTTTAGGACCATGGTATATGCAAAGGTCGATGCATGTAGCAAGAGAATAACAATGGTGTATAAGTCAAGGTGACTCGGAAAAAGCAGCTATGGGCAGGTGATAATTCCCGGGCAACAGCGGGTGAAAATCGTTGGGGGCATCAACGGGCTGTTTGGCAGTACATGATATATCCAAGATCTACGGGATTTGCATG